TCCAGGGCTGAACATCCCTTCCCCACTGCTGCGGGTGCTACGGGTACAATCCGGGGGTCATTAGACCCTGATGGCTCCCCACCTGGTGCCCTGCCCCGCCTTGCTCACAGGGACACAGGTGAGATACTTGCTTTGGCCACTACTTCTACTCTGCCTGCCCTGCCCCACCCGCCCTGCCTGCAGCCCCGCCTCTGCTGAGCCAGCCCTTCAGGCAGCCCCTGAGGTGTGTGTGCTGGTGGTAAATGAATACCACCAGAGCTGACCCTGGAGCTGAATTCAGCTCCTAACCTGGGATGGCTCTGGGGTCGGAGCGATGTCAGGCAAAGGGAGAAAGGGGCAGAAGCTGGGGGAGGTGTTGGTGGGACCTGCCACACGGCCTGCTGGGGAAGGGGGCAGCACAGGGCCCACTCTTGGGGCGGGATTTGGTTCTTCCTGGGAGCACGTGGGAGAGCCCTTTCCCTAGGTCCTCCCTACTTCTGTTTCCTGGCTGAGCCATAATTTTGCAGCTGCACCCACTCCTCTCAGGTGTGACGGGGAAGTCCAGGCCAGCACAGACAAAACCAGGGGCAGAGCCAAGCTTCCTAGGGCTCCTTTTCCACTGAGCCTGCTGCCAGGGGTAAGGGCAATGGGTTAGCAATCAGGGGAGAGTTGGCTAGTCCCTGTACTGCCAGGCTTCCCCTGGGGACCGTGGGTGGATCGTCTCTTCTCTGAGTCTGCGAGTCAGATTTGTAGCATAATGGGTTTGGGCAGTAGAGTCCCAGGCCAGCTAGCCCAAGGAGCCACACTCATTCATCACAAACTCAAATATCCATGGGGCCAAGAAACCGGGGTGAGAGAGTGGTTTTTGAGAGGTGGAATTATTAGGGAATAGTAGGGACTGTGGCAAACTGGTGTGCTGGTGTCCCCCAAAAGCTGCTACTGAGCTCCAGCTGACAGTTGCCCTGTGGGAAAGCTGGTTTTGCATTATCTTCTGACTTTCTAAGGAGAGCTGGAGGTCAGAATTTTCATGTCAGATTCCTAGTTCTTAAATGTTGCAATGTCAAGAAAATTAAGATTTTGAGGATCAAATGAAATATGTGTGAAGGTTAGATGTGGCCTGTAGGCTTCCAGTTTCTGGACGTTTTTCTTTTTTTTTTTTTTGAGACGGAGTTTCACTCTTTTTACCCAGGCTGGAGTGCAATGGCGCGATCTCGGCTCACCGCAACCTCCGCGTCCTGGGTTCAGGCAATTCTGCCTCAGCC